CTCTGTGACTGGGTTATATTGTTCTGTGACTGGGTTTTGTTTTTCTGTGACTGGGTTATGTTGTGCTGTGACTGGGTTATGTTTCTCTGTGACTGGGTTAAGTTGTTCTGTGACTGGGTTATGTTTCTCTGTGACTGGGTTATGTTTCTCTGTGACTGGGTTATGTTGTTCTGTAACTAGGTTATGTTTCTCTGTGACTGGATTATGTTGTTCTGTGACTGAGTTTTGTTTCTCTGTGACTGGTTATGTTGTTGTGTGACTGGGTTATGTTTCTCTGTGACTGGGTTAAGTTGTTCTGTGACTGGGTTATGTTTCTCTGTGACTGGGTTCAGTTGTTTTGTGACTACGTTATGTTATTCAGTAACTGGGTTATGTTTTGTTTCTCTGTGACTGGTTATGTTGTTGTGTGACTCGGTTATGTGTCTTTGTGACTGGGTTAAGTTGTCCTGTTGTTATGTTTGTTATATTGTTCAGGGACTAGCTTATGTTTCTCATGACTAGCTTATGTTTCTCATAACTAGCTTATGTTTCTCATGACTAGCTTATGTTTCTCATGACTAGCTTATGTTTCTCATGACTAGGTTATGTTTTTCAGTGCAAACCTCCATTTACACATAAAACTAAGACATTTTTTTTTCATGAAGAAGTTGGTAACACTTGCTCCAGTGGTTAATAATAATTCACTTTCCCATCCCTAAAATTCACTAATCCCCCGGTGTTGGGCAAGGGGATTTGTCAGCCCCTAGTCCCCCGGTGTTGGACAAGGGGATTTGTCAGCCCCTGTAAAGTGACTGGCATATTGTCTGTACTGTCTGAATTATGCTGTTTAGTAACTTTGTTATATCTGTTGTAAGACTGGGTTATATAAGGCAATGGTATTGTAATATGAGTGTGTTAAATTGTACAGTGACTCAGTTATGGTGTACATATTGATGAACAAGACACAATTTTGAATAGATATGACTAATGTTTTAAACTGATATGCAGTTGTATAAAGTCATTTAAACAATTATCGTTATTTTATAAAGTATTTGTCGATTTCGCCAGTCAAATTTTCAGGTTGACTATTGATAGAGTGAAATGTAAACATTAAATGACAAATGGATGGAGTTTGTTAAAGATTGCATATAAAATACATTAAAAAGACTCTCTGTATGTATTTATTATCATAAAAATTAGTATTTCTATGTTCCCTTACATTATTTCTTCGTCCATTTTGTTACTTTGGTAAATCGTAAGAGTCCAACTCCTACTGACCTCAGACCTAATTATCGATAACAAGTTTGGCTTTCCAGAAAGCCTGAAATGTCATCTCTTTGGCTTCATTAATAGACAGTGGAATGTAACATTTTTTCCTCAGCAATTACAAGCAGAACTTTTTCCCCAAAAAGGGGGGTAGTCAGAAAAAAAAAATTACAACTTACCTGAATAATCTTTCACTAGGAAAAAAAAGGGGTGTTCAAACTCGAAAATTCTTATTTCGTGGATGGGGAGGGGAGATTTAAACTTTTTGACTTTCTCGAAAAACACACTGGGGGGGGGGGTATGAATATGCTGCAACAAAAAAATGTGGGGAAGGGAGAGGCAAGTTGCCTTTCAGTGAACATTTGCAACAGTAATTTCAATTTTTTTTTTTTTTTTTTTTTTTTTTTTTTTTGTATATGTGTTTAAAATGTAATCACTGAGCAGTATTCGTAAAATTTGTAAACAATTGTTATACAAGAAGATGGGTAAAACCTTAGCGTTCCTAGCTAACCTGAATTAGTCCGGTGTAATATGGTGAGACCCCCCCCCCCCCCCAAGTGAGACTTCCCCCCGGAAATCTGGCTATATATAGTAAGACTCCCCAGTGAGGGGGGGGGGAGAATTACTATATAGTGAGCCTTCCCCCTTAAACGACCATAGTGAGGTTTCCCCCTTCCATGTTCAGTTGTATTTTATTTACATCGACGATGTATATATATTTGCATTTTGATAATGATCTTATAAAATAGATACATGTATGAATAAATATAGAAGTGCGCATAAAAATTTATCGTGCACAGTAAATCAATCGTTCCAAAATGATTCTTATCAAAAGAAATACATTTAACACTTAAGAGACTCTTGGAATTTGTTTATGTTAACCTTCATGGAGAATGCAATAAACACAATGTAGTAAAGAAAGATGTATACTTGTAACAAAAACGTACATTTTTCATTCAGTTATCTCACATCAATATACATGTACATGTCATCCCAAAATTATTTTTGGCTAACAAACTGTTAAAAGGCTATTAAGATGTTTTAATTATTAATTAATGGAGAACTTTTATTCATAAACTGAAAAATATTGTTTTACAATGAAATAAAATATTCCGGAAACTACATTTGAGGGGGAGTCTCACTATGAAAGGGGGGAGAGACAGGCTATATAGTGAGACCTCCCCGGGAGAAGTCTCACTCTATTGCCAGTCGATCTTCCGGGGGGAAGTTTCACTATATAGCCAGTCTTCCCGGGGGATATTTGACTATATAGACAGCCTTCCGTGGGAAGTCTCACTATGGGAGAAGTCTCACTGTACGACACCGGCCCTCAGTTGATTTCTAAAGAATATATGGTTTATCCAAAGAAATAACCCTCACATGCATTTAAATATAGGTCAGTAATAAAATTTAAACGTTATAAGCTAAAATTATGCATTTACAAATTATCTGAAAGAGTACCAATTTACCAACCCTCATATTTGGGCTGTTTAAGGAAACAATCATTTTATATAATAATATTTCAAGAATAAGAGAAGTGATTTGATTGCTTTTTGCCATTTACCAATAATGCAATTTAAAATTACACAGAGAAAATGATTGCAGGTGCTTTAATTATAAATTCTCAAAATACGAGTCGGGTAAAGAAATTGCGTCTTTTATACAGAGGTAACAATATTGTATTTCTGACATTTATTTTTTATAGAACAAAAAACAAAGAATAGTGCAGACATGCGTAAAAACTCACGATGATTATATTAATCTTTCTTCCAATGCCTGTAGTTTTAACATTTACTATTTGTTTTAAAAAAAAAAAATTAAAAAATGGCATCAAGTTATTGAATGACTAAGATACACATAAAGGTAAAATTTTCGACATCAATTCACATCAGTCGTATTTAAACTTTTAATGCGAGTATTTACTTTGATTTTGTTTTTCTGTAAATTCTTGGATCCACGCCTTGGCTGATCTAATCGATGCCATGTAAAGTGTACTTTGATACACACGCGCTGGCCATCATTTACATAACAGCCTAGATAACTGCATGTTATTTGAAGACCCGCCACTTTGTTTTTCTGTAAATACTTTGATCCACGCCTTGGTCGTTCTAATCTATGCCATGTTTAGTACATTCTGATACACACGTACGCGCTGACCATACTGAGTGACCATGATTAGATAACTGCATGTATTTTGAAGACCCACCACTATCCAAGAGATTCTGTCTCTGTGACTCTCTATGATTAATGTGTATAGTTTTTCTTTTTTTAAGATGGCCTGTTTGACAGATCGCCCCCATTCTTTGTCATTTAGCAGTTTTGTTTACATTTCTATATTTAGAAATCGTGTCATTTGTCAGACCACCAGCTTATCAATGGCAGCTTACACTGGGGCTTCATGTCCGGGTAACAAACTTAATGTGTCATCTCTCTCGAGAGATGACAATAATACATCGGGTTCGGTATACTAAAAATATATAAAACTTTAACCAAATCGGAATTTATTTTCCCGGAAACCGTGACTGGGTTATGCTATAGACGTTAAACTAGGAAGTATTACACGCCTTACATGTTTATATGGTCTGAGCACATGTTTTTCTTAGATTTATCGACCGAATGCTCGCCATTAATATCTCCCAAAAAGCAGGTAAGATAATTTTCAAAAATGCAGTTTTCATATTTTAATTTAAAAAACATTAAATCCTTTAAAAAAGTATTCCTGAATCAAACTTCCCCCTTTTGCGGAAGAATTTCTATTTTCACAAAAAATATATTGTGCTCTTCTTTTCATTTTTTAATGACTATGGTTACACCGTTCATCGACATCAAAATCCGAATTATATGTCTTTCTGTAGTCTACTTGCAATCTAAATTCTATTAAAATCAGGCCGAAACAATAAGTAGCGTTTTGATTAAAATTCACGGAATATAATATTTCTAATAACCATGAAAACATCGCTAATATCAAAATCAGATAATAGTAATAAGGTAACATTGTTTGTTCTACTTTATTCTCTATTGAGAAGTTGATGCATGGCTCGTTTTATACTCCCCCTCAAGTTGATAAAAGGAGCCATCAACTTCTCAATAGAGAATAGTTCTACTTGTGCCCCAAATTTTACTGAATTCAAGCAAAAACTGTAGGAGGATTGAAAAAAAAAATGTTTACAGACGGACAGACAGACAGTTATACAGACAGAAGAACACTTTATCTTATCTCTAACCACTAGAGCTAAAAATTTAAATCGATTAATTCACCAAAGAAAAAAAAAACCTTTTACTCGACTGATAATTTAGGTCTGTAAAAAATCCATTATAATACTTTTACTGTATTTAAAATATTTAAAAAGAATATAGATATTAAATAACTGTATATTTCAGTTGCATATTAACATCTAATTATGGACCCCTTTACCAGTGCCCAGGACGTGATACGATGTGACCTGTGTGAGACCACTGTGATACAGATGCACTGTGATACATGTCTTGTCAACCTGTGTACAGCTTGTGTAGGAAAACATATGATATCTGATGAATCCAAGGATCACAGAGTCGTCAAATTTCAGGCCAGGAAATCTACTCCTCTCTACCCTGAATGTACATCCCATAGTAATGAACGATGTGAAATGTACTGTAATCAATGTGACATTCCTGTCTGCAACACTTGTATTTCATCTGATCAACACCTAGGTCACAAATTAATGAAAATTTTGCAATTGGTGGATGGAGAAAAGAAGAAGGTAATCGAGGAACAAACTGAAATAAAAGAGACAATTTATCCAATCTACCAGAACATTGCCTCTGATGTACAAAACAGAATGAGTCAGTTAGAAAAGGAATATGGAGATCTCTCAACAGCCATAACAAAACATGGAGAGGACTGGCACAGAGAAATTGACAAACTTGTTAAGAAACTTCAAACTGAAGTTGATAAGATGAAAAACACACAGTTACAAACTCTACAGAAACATCTGGATGAAATTAAGCAAAATATTTCTGACATCGAGGATGAAATTTATTCAATTAATGTCACAAAGGACTCTAATGACTTGTCAAAACTGTTCAGTGCTAAAATCAATGCAGACAGATACAAAAAGCTTCCCAAAAAAATTGTGCCATCTATGCCTAAATTCATGCCAGGAAAAATTCAAGGAGAACTCGGTAAACTGTTTGGAACTTTATCATCAGGTTCTTTGACTTCAGATAAACATGGCTACAGCATGAAGACAACACAGAAATCACCAAAAGTAGGATCCTCTCCTCCAGTCAAACAGCTGCTTGATGAACCAGAGACTATCATCACCATAGACATAGACATAGACATGCATACTAAATATGGAGATCTTTACAATGTGGCTTGTCTGAGTGATGAAGAATTCTGGACAAGTGGAGGTGACAACACCATGAAAATCTACAGCATCAATCAGGGATCACTACTTAAGTCAATTCCAACCAGGTCATGGAAAAAGCCAACAGACATAGCAGTGACAAAAAGTGGAGATTTAGTTTATACTGATTTCTGGGAAAGAACTGTGAACATTGTGAAGAATGAGAAGATAGAGGAGGTGATCAGACTACAGAACTGGATACCTGACGGTGTCTGTAGTACCTCCTCTGGTGACCTCCTGGTTACAATGGACAGTGATGATTACACACAATCAAAAGTTGTCCGTTACTCTGGCTCCACAGAGAAACAAACCATTCAGTTTGATGATAAAGGAAAGAGCCTCTTTTCTTCTGGTAGTTATAATAGATATATAACTGAGAACAGGAACCTGGATATCTGTGTGTCTGATAGAGGGATTTTAGCAGTAGTGGTTGTCAATCAGGGTGGGAAACTGAGATTCAGGTACACTGGACATACTCCTGCTCCAAAGAACAAACTATTCATACCCCGCGGAATCACCACAGACAGTCAGAGTCACATCCTTACGGTTGATAATTACAATGACTGTGTTCACATCATAGACCAGGATGGACAGTTCCTCCGTTACATAGACTGTGGATTGAGTGAACCCTGGGGACTATGTACAGATATATTTGATAATCTGTTTATTGCTCAGTGGGGAAACAGAGAAGTGAAGAAAATTAAATACCTGCAGTGAAACCTATTGCTGTGTTGTATAGTTTAGCATTACATTGGTGATTAGCTTGTAAAATACACTTAACATGAGTACACGATCGTAAGATTGCCCGTGGGTTGGTTATCAATATTTAGACCTGGCTGAATACAAAATGATAAATATGACAGATATTGAGAATGTAACATATCCTCCTCCCCCCCCCCCCAATGATTGGGAAGTGTGTTTAATTGTAATTTACTTTATTTTGACATCTGTAAAAACATTGATAATTTGTTGATATATCCATTAAGACAGATTTTGTGTTGTGTATCATTTGAACTTTACAATAAATTGCATATTTCACACAAGAATCTGCTAACAGTTTGCCTGCTAGATACCCATGAGCAAAGAAGACTTTATAAGATATACATGTAATGCAATTGCAATATATTACCAACTTAGCCCTACCCTTGAGCCTGAACCTGAAGCCAGAGGACATGAATTTCACAATGTTGGAAGAGGATTCATTGCTTATCATAATCATATTAACAGCTTGACTCATTGATGTCCAAGAGTAAGATGTTTAAAGATTTCATAAATTTTGATGTTTAACTTTTGGTCACACCCTTCAGGCCCCAGGGAGGCAGAGGCCATGAAATTAACAAGTTTTCTTCCCCTTTACTCAAAGATGCTAGTTACCAAAATTGATTAAAATTGGTTTGAGCGATTCTATAGAGAAAAATGAAAAACAAACGACACATGACGACGGACGAAAACAGATACATGTAGCTATACGTCACCTGAGTGACTCCGGTGACCAAAAACGAATTATACTTAAGAACTTCAAGTTTTATGAATAATTTTTCAACCAGCAGAGCTAAAGTGTCATTAAAGGTATTGCTTTATTTTGTATAATGGATGTTTTTGTGAATATAAGGGCTGTTCGGAAATTACTTTTAGTCCATAAAGGAAAGAGATAAATTCATGACAATTCGTCAACATTTTATCAAGAACAAATGAAACAAATGTGCAAAATTTCTAATAAATAGGATAATTAGATAAGTGTTGAAACGATCGGGAAGCGTTAACTCTTCTTTCTTTTTCATCACATATAACATTCTAGAAATCAAACTCTCTCTTTTCTTAAACGATTCTTTAAAAAAAAAATCTGGAAAGTTGAGATCTTCTACAGTCGAGGATGCTTGTGATTTACGGGGGATTTTTGGTGCTGGTTCAGTTTCTGATTTCACACAGCTACTCAGGATGTTGGAAATCTCCCTCTGCTTCTGCTCCCCATGACGTTTAGTATATGAATGAACAGAGCTTTCAGACTTGTGCCCACTTATTTCCATGATGTGTCTTGTCTCGATGCCATTTTCATCTAAATTTGTAATGCATGACGCTCTTATGCAATGGCTGGTGTACCGTTTAGACAAACCTGCTTCCTCGCTTACTTTTGCCATAATTTACCGAGGGTATTTTTTTCCCCACTGCCATGTTATCATACCATAGGTTTTCAGACATATTTTCTACTTTTTTGGGCGTTGCCAAAAATAAGAATTTTGGGGGTGAAGCTTATTCAAGTATATAGTTGAAATGCAGCAACAAGGCAGTCTTTGTCACCTGAAATATCTTATTAAAATAAAGTAGTTGGTGAAACTGTATCTTTTACACGTATATGTAATATTTATCATGTTTATAGCAGCTAAATATCACTTCTGACGTACCATAAGGATGGGACTAATATTTTACCATTTCATTGTATAAAATGTTTTACCTGGATTCTTATAAATTCGGCCTTCCTTGTCATTATGATTTCTAATGTCATCTCCTCGATGATTTTTTGTCTGTCTTTTTGTCTTCATTCTGATGTATTTACGTCCTAAGGAATCGATGTTTATCAAATCCTCTTTCTTCACCTCCCTCAATTTTGTCGTCTCCTTTTACAAACTCAAAAAACACTCTATTCTGCAAAGATTGAGGATTTTCCAATTTAAAACAGTCACTTTGGTAAAGTTTTCTCAATTCATCCTGTGTTATACTGTCCTTATGTTTTACGTCTCCGATGCCCTCTTTTTTCAGCTTGACCAAAACAGCTTTAAAAATTTCATTGGCAGACTTGTACTGTTCATTGTTTACAATATCTTCCTTCAGCGTTTTCAGGAAGTGCTTCTGTAATCCGAATCGCAGGGTGATCATGGACTTTTCAGCGTAGAAAGAACCATCTGTTTTACGAACCTCGCAGTAGAAATTCCCGAGTGTCGTAACCAGTCATTCTACAAAAACAGGACCAATTAAGAATTTTTTATGTCGCTTACAAATTTACCGCTGTAATATCTAAACTATAAATTTAAAGACCGATTTCAACTCTAAGACTTAACATACACTCATGGTTTTGTAAATATTTACAGATATATATGCAGTTAAAATTTTGATATGAAGGTAATGTAATGTTGAAAAAAGTATCCCACTGCAAATCTTAATGTCGCTTCATTTATTTACAAATTTCAAGATGAAATTTTCAGCCGTAAAATCGTTGCGAATAGATTGCAATGAATGTTTAAAAAAGTTTTTTATCCTATATAAAAAGAAATCAAACTACTTCTCGCAAAGAAATGCATGGATCTCCTTTAAATGCATGGATCTCCTTTCATGCTAAATCATAGCCTGTCGTTTAAAATCGATTAACTTCCGTAACGATTTTCTTTTAAATTTCAATCTGAAATTTCAATGCTGATTCAATCTTAGCTGCAGAACTGTAGCTCTCTGCTTGAGAAAATTCGGACAGACAATGCAGAGAGCTACAGATCCAAGCGTTGTAAAAACCTTCGATTTACGCCGCCGCTTTTTTGTCGCTCGCTTCGGGTATTATTTCTTGTATTTAATGCTTTCCCCTGCTTTAAAAGTGTATCCAATAATTATCCATATATTTTACTCCTATTCCTGATACTTTATTTACCTTTCAACGGTCTCAAACAGCCCTTTATGGTCTTGAAATGTCGGTTTAAAAAATTCCCATTCCGACGTCCATGTTATTGGGGGTTGTGCGAAAAGAAGTAATTCAAATAACATATACTTGTCAAGAAAATGTAAATAAAAATTTCAGGAGGTTTATATATCATGTATATTGTCTATAAAGATTAGAATACAACATGTATGTAAAAAAGAAATGAGATAAATAAAACTCGGGCGTGTTGTTTCAGGAGGACACCAACGTCGACGTCGGAATGCTTTTTTTAAAACTGATATTACGGCCGTCTGGAACTGTTGAAAGGTAAATAAAGTGTTAGGAATAGGAGTAAAATATATGGATAATTATTGGATACACTTTTAAAGCAGGAGAAAGCATTAAATACAAGAAATAATACCCGAAGCGAGCGACAAAAAAGCGGCGGCGTAAATCGAAGGTTTTTACAACGCTTGGATCTGTAGTTCTCTGCATTGTCTGTCCGAATTTTCTCAAGCAGAGAGCTACAGTTCTGCAGCTAATTCAATCCGAAATTTTATCTGAAAGTGACCACGGAACCTTATATCATCGATTCTAGTTGCGAGTCGGCTATTTTAGACGATTATATTTTCGACATAACAAAATGAATTAGACATAAACAGTTGTCTCTCTTAAAAATATAACTTCCGTAACGGTAATTCAGGACAGTTTTTGCATTAAAGGTATAACAATTTTTATTATTTTGGGAGCGAAATGCTTCATACTTTTGTTTAATATCATAAAGCAAACTTTGATTTTAATTTTTGAGGAGAATTTTAACTTTTATTTCTGGGAATTAACTTCCGTAACGATCAACTTCCGTAACGATATTTTCCCCGAAAATTTAATTTAATTTCGGATTCATGCGAGACTTCATGAATCATACTTTAGCGTTCTTTACTGAACATCAGAAACGAAAAATTGGTCAAAATCAGCTTTATTTAAAAATTAATGAGGCTTGATCAAGCATTAACTTCCGTAACATTACCTTAAAATCAATGGTATATTGAAATTGTTGTAAAAAGTTAACGATACTAGATTTGTGGACAATTCTTTGTTTTCAAGTTCACTGATATGTCCTTTAGAGAATTATGAAATTATGATGTTCATTTTGCTATTTGAAACAATTTATTTTTTTTTTCATGTTTTATACTCTAAATTGGTCCATTTATCGTAGAATGGCTGACAACCTGAAGAGTTTCTGCTTGCTCGAGTTGCGTAATGTCCGTAATTTCACTGTTTTTAGCTCTCAGATATTCATTCAAGATGTTAATCGATCCTTTAATTACTTTTTAGTATTGACTGCATCCCTTTCATCCAGTATACTCTCTAAATCTTTTTCCGTCAAGCGCTCTGCCATGGGTGTGTTCCCCGAATCTACTCGCTAAAACAACAATATACTGTAAACCAACTATTATTCGCGTCATCTTTTATTCGCGATTCCTCAGTCTGAAATCAATCCGCGACGATTAATTTTCGCGACTGAGGAAACATCCTCTATAAATACAAAGCAAGATAAATGGTTCGCGGCGATTAATATTCGCGAGTTAAAGTAGGCCGCGAAACTCGCGAATATTTCTCGCACGCGAATAAAAGTTGGTTTACAGTAATTATATCACACTCAATTAAGGGGCCCTCCAAGGGGTACAGATAGAGTTTACCTGTATGAATGAACTACCTGCGTTTATATGACTGTGCTTAAATGGAAAAATATCTCAATACATCCTATGAAATGAATTAAATTTCATGGTGTTAATATTTTAAAGCATTTATTCTAAATATCATAATAAACTTCGTTTATTTAAACGAAAAAAAGTTCATGTCAGTCTTCAATATACATGTATATTATTAAATTCTTCTCAATATATCCTATTAAATAAGTTAATTTTTTTATGGTACTAAATAATTTTTATTTCTATTTATTTTTAATCAGTGTTTCAAAGCATCAATTGTTAATATTATAACAAAAAACTATACTTGCATTTAGACAAAAAAAAAACAAAAAACTTTCATGTCATTTTTCTTTTCAATATATCCTATTATATCCTTTTACAATGTATCCTTTTAATAATTTGAATTTTTTATGGTGTTTATTTTTTTCTCTCCATTTTTAACTGAAGGTTTCAAAGCATTTACTTTAAATACAGTTAACATAACAATAAATCATTTCAAAATCAACTTGATTTAATTCTGCATGGTAAAACTCAAATCTTAAAAAATAATTTATATTTTGGTTTAATATTTACCAAGCAGTCTAATATTCAATAATTTGAAAATA